GAAAGAGCGAACGCGTTAAACTTTTGACATTAGAACCGCTGATGGTGTCATTTTGACACCGCTAATCATTTTAATGTTTCTTTTTTTTATATTAATTATACAGTACAAAATATTGAAAATACGTGAATATAATACAAATAATTGTATAACGATAAAGATAATATCGAAATAACTTTTCACTAACCGAAATCACAAGGATTAATAGGAAATTAGCATTTTTTTCAATTTTAAGATCGCGTTCTAGTGTTAAATTATTTTATTACTCCTAAAAATTAAACATTTAACATGATTTTTGATTAACGAATAAGAAAATGTATTATGGTGCTGTGCATATAGAAAAATTAATAAACCGTTTTTTTCTGAGCACCATTAAATAATATATATATAATATGTACTTTATAAATATACTTCCCTTACACACAGAAATCCAATTTAATACCGAAAGATAATGATTAATTAATCATTTTGAGTATTAAAACACATCATTTATAGCTAATTAATTACTAACTTTCAAGCGTTTATAATATACTTTTATAATACAACTACATTTTATTATTACACAGAGTCTCTCCAGTCGCAAAAGTCGTTGAATATACAGTCATATTGTTCGCGAACTTACCGTTTCAGATATCCGGCTGACATTATAAGTCTATTGTCCACGTCCAGGAATCAAAAGTAGGCGGTATATCGGGTTGGACGAACACCACTGGCTCTTCAACAGTTCAATAGCGTCGACAGGTGCGGTATCGCGCGAACCGTCAAGCGTAATGACGAAGTTTCCACCGGATTGGCATACCTTGAACTTGCCTCCAAGGCTTCCCTACAATCACCCTTGGTTAGAAACAAGTTTACCTCTCAATTTTCCCCTTAGACTTGTCTTGATTTCGAACTTTCTGTCAAAGTATCAAAATGCACAGTCCCGATAGAATCAATGAATCGGGACGACGTGAATGAATCGGAAGAATGTTCAATCGAGTATTGTATAATCGCGATGCTGTTCTCTCTCTTTCCCCCTCTCGATTATATCTATACGGTATATAGATTCGGAGCGGCAGATTCAACGCACTACTGATGCGACGAGATCGGAGCTTCGTTTCTTACGAAATAGCCGCGCGCGAGACGTGTCGCGCGTCGCCCGGAGTTCGTCGAACCTATGGATCTATCTATCGCACCCGGCCCTCGTCCGGCGAATGTCCCTGCTTATCGGAACGACACGAGGGAGCGACTCGCTCGCGTGCGTTCGCGGTCGCGCGACAGCGTAAAGTCGACTGCACAATCGCGTGCGGTCGCATTACCGCGCGTATACCTATACGTACGTGCGAAGTGCAGTGCATGCGACGACGACCCCACCGCGCACTAGGTAAAACTAAAAGGTCCCTCGGGATATCGCACACCGCGCCGGCGGGGCACACACGCGGTGTACGCACCTAGGTAACCGCACGGAGGCAGGTGACGGTAGACAGGTGAACGTGTTGGCGGAACACAGGAAGTGCTGGAGACAGAGAGGCGATATACAAAAGCCCTTACGGTAGAGGGGGAACGACGACACTATCCGGAGGAGTGAAAGAGGGAGTGAGAACTCGCCGAGTGCGCCTAGAGACAGAATTGTGGAGAACTGTGCTGCGTATATATGCTTACTTAGCCGCAGCGCAGAACATTTCCAAAAGCGCGCCTCAATAGATTCTTTTACCTTCATGGAGAGAATTCGGTACAACGATCATCCGAATTCATTTGGATTTCGATATATCAACTGCTATATATATATTATTTTAATTAAAAGCAATGTTTTCATCATCAATTATCATGCTTTTATATTTCGATAAAATTATTTCCAACAGTATAATATATTGTTTACTAGAAATATATAATTATAAGAAGAGCAACGCGTAATAACTGCAGAAAAGCTTTCTATTTTGGATTCTTTCGATAGAAAAGAATCCAATTTTTTTTTTTTTTTCACAAAATGACTTATATAATTGTTATTACCAAAAATATCGAAAATAACGATGGTTCAAATTAATTTATTCAAGAGCTTGGAAAAATAATTGGAATTTTATTAGACTTGTATGATTTGTGTGATTCGGACAATTTTTATAATTGAAAAGTTATCCTCACTTTGATTTTTGCCACTTTAGTTGGGGAAAAGAGTCGGCTTTTGATTGCAGGTCGTAAACTTAACGTCTCTCCCACGATATTCTGAGAAACGTGATAATATGATATATACGTAGCGGATATCGTAATAATAACATTTAGAGCTGACTGTATCGCTTTTGTCGAGTCAATTGTATACCTACATATGTATTGCCTAATGGCACTTTTTGATAGCATCGACAAATACGTATATCTCCTATATATTTAAATATCCTAAATCAATCTCTTCCGAATATAAAGTATATTCGAGTATAAGTAAGATTATCTATCTCAAGATAATTATTACTAATATAGTAATTGGTCTCTAAGTTCCATCTACTTTATTCTATAATTAAGAGAAACTTAAAACGCACCAATTAATTTAAAAAACTTAAAATAACAAAAATTGAAAACTGCAAAAATTTATATAAATCCGAATAAAAAGAGAATAAATAACTATATAGCTAACAAGAGAGAAGAGTATATTAATTTTAATAAGAATAATCCAAATATCCAGATATAACATAAAAAAAGATTGAATCAGTTGACATTTTTGACAAAGAGATTTATAATTGAGTAGATCCAATAGAGATCTGTCAACTCCGAAGGATTAAGGTCCGATTTCACAAATGCAAGATTAATTTTAATTTTGGTTCAATCAATTCTTTATCTTTTTCTTATTCTTAGACTTAGAAAGAGATAAAGAGCAAATGAAGACGAGATTAAAGTTATAATCTGTGGAACCGAGTATAAGAAATCTCAAATCTGTGGAGAAGAAAGAAATGTCCACGAATATCAGAGGAACATTTCGATCATTCGATATCGCGTAGACACATCTCACTATGAAAATTTACTCGTTCGCGTCGAGAGAGTTCACTGTGCTAAGCAGCAGCAACATGGCGTTATTATGCCGCTTGCGACTCGGTTGCGTACAGGAATAGCTCGCACATGTCCCTCTCTTTTACTCTTTTGCTTCTTTCTTTTCTCTCCTCTTCCCGATACGCGCATACATTCGTCGTTGCGAGCGTTCACGTAGGAAAAGCTCTCTCTCTCTTTCTCTTTCTTTCTCCCTTCTCTCTCTCTCTCTCTATCTGCTCTTACTCTTTCTCTGATCCTCTCTCTTCCATTCTCGACGAAGGATAGTACACTCGAAGCACGACATCGTCCTCCGCCGTTCTCCAACGTCGTAACGCGAACGGCGAAGTCATTGACTGTGAAACCGGGGTGACGAATATGAACTAGGAGTACGAGACCATCAGTTTCAGATTCCGTTGATGTTTTCAGCCACAAACGGGACTGGATATGGAGGTTGAAATGTACCTCGGTGGAACGTAAACACCAACAGCGACACATTAGTTATAATACTGTAATTACTTACTCAACACAATACAAGTACAATAAACGTACGTAATAGTTATATTATTGTTAAGTAGAAAATTATAATATTAATTGGGGAGGGAGGTACAATATATTGTTATTCTGAATATTTGCTGAGATATCGATACACAAATCATGCAAATATTTGTAGAAAATATTATTTGTAATTGTAATAATGCATGTTTTAAATAATGCAAGATTGCATCTTGATGGCGTGATTTGGAATGCGGAGAATTACATGTATATATAAATATATATTGTACATATATATATGTATATGTATACACACATATAACTAACGTCTCGAATTAAATATATATTTATTGGCGCTAAAGCTTTTAACTGATCGTACGTGAGTTTGATAAGATTAATATTTATTCACATAATGTATAACATATAATTTTCGCTGTATAATGAAATACTATGATGACGAGTTCTCAGGGTAGCTTGAATCAAACTCTAATTAATTTAATCAGTAATTAACTTATCAAGCAATACCTACACTATTTTACTAATACAAGTAGAATATAATTAATATTTCATTATTTAACACATACGTACAGAAAAAAAATCAAATTATAGGAGCCACCAATTATACGCAATTAAATTAAAAATTTTGCAATAGGCAATTTTATTCTATTCGTTGAACCAATTAAATTTTCTATAGGTGTAAAATATTCCTAGAATGTTTATAAATATTTAAAAAAATTACAGTAATTGCTGTTCTGATCGAAGTATTACTCTTATATCATGTATATTTTTACAATGTAGATTAATTGAGATTTTTTTTAATTCTTAGGAAAAGGTAAACTATTATAAATCAAGATTATAAATTTAATCTACATTAATTTGTCAAAATGGAGCGACACTTCGATCAAACTTTTATTATTAACTCTTAATATTTTTTAATTCTTGGAACCAGACATTAGACTTTAATCAAATTGTGATTAATTTATCAATAATGCTAATTCGTTTTTCTAATCTATACTTTAATGTATTAAACAACAAAAAAAATTTTTTAATTATTATTAATGAAATACACAAGAATAGATCCTATTTTATTTGCTAAAGTAAAAGTACTTAATAATCGCATCGATTAAATTAAACAGGTCGAGTTAATTGAAGTTGTTCTTATGCAATAGAAAGTCGCTATACGTCATCGAGACGGTTCATATCAATTCATACGCAAGAAATGTTGACGTTTACGCAATTTATGACATAAACGTTATAGCCTTGTTTGATTAGCGACCAATTGAGTGAAAGTTATTATGACTAACGTTACCATTGATGATAAGTTATTATAAAAGTATTGATCGATAAAAGATACGCGGTCGGTAATGACGATTTGTTTATTACCCCGAGATTTATTTATCTTTCCTCAACGTTACTACACTCACGTGCAATAGAGGACACTACGCGTCATTGAAGCCGGTCTCTCCTCTACTTACTTTTCTTTATATGTCGCTTTTTTCACAAGTGTTTTCTGTGTATTTATTCCGGCGTAAATGTGATTATGTGACCGATGGAAGCTGCGGCGTGTAATGACAAAGAAGTTCTGTGATAAATAGTATTATGTGAAGTAAAATGTTCGAAGGATCGAATACAAAATAGACCTGAGACCCTGAGACGTAATATCAGTAACATGTCTAGTTCGGTAACTGGCAAGAACCTGTTACGGCCGAACAGCCTACAGTGTACAAATCTACAGGAATATTTAAAATCTCGTAGCTCCGACACTTTGAATAAACTGTATCACAAGCCTCCTATATGCTTAGCTGTATTCCGTGAATTACCTGTCATTGCTAAGCATTATGTTATGAGACTGGTGTTTGTTGAGCAACCAGTACCACAGGCAGTTATAGCATCCTGGTGTTCCAAGCTCTATTTCGAGGAGCATCAGAAGGTGGTACAAATCTTGAATGAGCTGTATGTGTGGAAGGAAGCATCCATACCTGGTGGACTACCGGGCTGGATCTTGAACAATACCTTCAAGAAGAACTTAAAAATTGTACTGCTGGGTGGTGGCAAGCCTTGGACCATGTCGAATCAGCTGGAAATCGACAGTAAGCCGCGAGACGTGGCCTTTCTGGATTCTTATGCATTGGAAAGGTGGGAGTGTGTCTTACATTACATGGTTGGTTCTCAGCAGCAGGAGGGTAAGATTTTTTAAAACATACCTCTTCTTAAGATCATTTTAAGCTGATAATATGGTTCTAATATCTTAAGACTGTACTTAAGACAATCTTAAATATGAGAACTCTGTCAATGAAAACAGTTCTAAATTAGTGTACACTGCTGCTACTCAAGTAGCCAAGAGCATGTGTTGTAAATTGTGTAATCTAGTGCAGTGCAAAATTGACAAAACTAATGTAAAAACATGTGAATATAATCACAATTTGTTACTGAGATACACTCTTGTTTTGCATTACTTTGTAATTCAATCATATTTTGTATATAAAATTTATAATACAAATTACAAATATTTAAAATATCTAATACCTTAAAATATTACAATAGGCATATCTGCCGATGCTGTAAGGATTCTTTTACATGCTGGTTTAATGAAGAGAGATGAAGCTGATGGAAGCCCAATTATAACGCAAGCTGGTTTTCAGTTTCTGCTTTTAGACACAGCTTCACAGGTAATTATTAGTTTTCTGTCAGAAATATTTTCTTTGTCATATATACATACTATATGTATTTAATTGTTAAATAGGTATGGTATTTTATTTTACAATATCTTGACACAATTGAAGCACGTGGTCTTGATTTGGTAGAGTGTCTTACCTTTCTGTTTCAATTAAATTTTTCCACTCTTGGTAAAGATTATAGTACCGAAGGCATGTCCGAAGGGCTCTTAACATTTTTACAACATTTAAGAGAATTCGGGCTTGTATATCAACGAAAACGCAAAGCAGGAAGGTAGATATACAAATAAAGCATAATACATGTTATTTGCAAATAATTCAAATCAACTAACATTTTCGTTAATTTATGTTGCAAGATTTTATCCGACTCGATTAGCATTAAACATCGCTACTGGTGAAACTAAACCTTTAACCAGAGATATAGACAAGGAAGGGTATATAGTTGTGGAAACAAATTATCGAGTTTATGCTTATACGAATTCAAACTTACAAGTTGCATTGCTTGGACTTTTCTGTGAAATGTTGTATAGGTAAATGCGTTATATGTACATGATATAAAACATATTTTGTACAAAATAAAAAATTAAACAATTATACTATTTTGTCTAGGTTTCCAAATTTAGTTGTTTCAATATTAACAAGAGATTCGGTAAGACAAGCATTGAAAAGTGGAATAACTGCTTCTCAAATAGTAGGGTATGTATTATGTTAAGAACTTAAATAGTCAAGTACAAAAATGTTGTACATATTATTTTATGTAAACATATTATTTTATATCAACAGCTATTTGCAGCAACATGCACATAGTAAAATGATAGAGGCAGGACCACCTATATTACCGCCTACAATTGTAGATCAAATTAAACTATGGGAGAATGAAAGAAATAGATTTGTGTTCAGTGAAGGTGTTCTATATAGTCAATTTCTTTCACAAACTGACTTTGAAGTTCTTAGAGATCATGCGGTTTCAACCGGAGTATTAATTTGGCAAAGTGAAAGGTAATCATTATTTTAAAATACAAATACTTTATAAAATATCTATTACGTGTATAATATTGCTAAGAGAAAAATTTCACAACAAATGTTATGTTTAATAACAAAATATATTCTTTATTTTGTAGAAAAAGGACCATGGTGGTTACCAAAGCTGGCCACGATGATGTGAAAAAGTTTTGGAAACGATATTCAAAAGGCTCAAGTTAATATTCGAATTAATTATCAAAGTTTAATTATAAGCATTTAATGTATATTGTTGTTTCCTATGTAATGTCAAAAAAGTATTGTTCCAAAAAAAGTGCCTAGCAAACTGGAGAAGCATTCTTGACAGATTGGAGAAATAATATTTTCTTTTTAATCAATGCCAAAGCTCTCTCAGGTGGGACTAGGTTTTGACAATGCATGTGTGATATTCAATTAATGAAGTAAGTTTTTATATATTTGATGTTGTCTGTTTTATTTCTACTCCAATAATAAAACTTATACAATGAGGAAAAGAAATTATTCAGAATACGTCAATTTGATTTATCATAATAAAGTCTGTTGCAATTTTTACATATGTATAATACATTTTGTACCAGGGTATAATCGTCATTCTAATATCTTCTGAACATATTTTTGAATTATATGACTTGATACATTAGTAGAATATTAATATTTGCATTTTGAATCAACATTTTTGTTGTACATACACAAACATATGTAATATGTACAAACATATTTTATATTTATAATTTAAATCGACAGTTAATTTATGTAGATATTGAATCTAGACGTATAACTAAAATCAAAATTGATGGTTTATTGTATATTTATTAAATAGTAAAATTGGACTAATATGTGACTTTCTAAATCGATTAATTTATCAAACAATATTTTGTATTATTTATTTCATTGACGTAGAATTATTATTTTTTATATTATTTAACATACAGAAACAAGAGAAATTTTGCTTTAAACAATTATACTAATTAAATTAATTACGGATTAAATTAAACAAAATGTAATACAAAGATAGATTCGTATGTTTATTATTAAGGCTGTGTCATACGAAAAAACATATGTAATAAAACGTAAGCTGTAAAATCAATATAATTACTGTTTACGTTATGGCCTTATGATCTTTACTATGATTGGTCAATCCGTTTACTGCTTAAAGATTGCGTGTACTATGGAATTATACATTGGATATAAACAAAAAATTATAAATAATCATAAATAATATTTATATTGGAATATTTTACAAGACATATATGATTTTATGTAAAAAAACGTTACTTTATTTTATTTTTTAATAATTAGGTGTTTATTTTTCTAGTCATCTTAAGTGAAGATGATATTATTTCAAAAATTGACACATTTGATAGCAATAAATTGATATATATAATCTTGACTATTCACTCTTACAAGTACAACATATTTATAAAGAGAAAATCATTTAATTGTGTAGTTTGTATATTTTATAATCACCGCGTTCTTCTTTTCTACTGCAGATTTTTCATCACATCATTTAGATTTTTTTTTTAAGAAGCAGATATTGAATTATTTTCTTTCTGAATGGAAAATTTATTCTTAATTTATTTAGAACTTTTCTTTAATAAGATTCTTGATTTCAGTTAATCTTACGGAACAACGCGTACTGATATAGTAGTCTAACATCTGAAAAGGACAACATTTTCTGAACGATGATCACGTATCATAATTGAAGTAAAATTACCGTTTCGTGTTTTGCGTTGCAATATCTCGGTTCGTATGGCACGTAGACGAAAAGTAAAAGCACTTTTTTTAATATATTGTGTAGGTATATTGTCTGCTTCGCCGTACACCTTGCGTGTACACTCAACGCGTGACACAATTATGTCTCTTGACATGAACATTAAACTGCAAAAATCATTAAGTTATAATAACACTCAATAATTGAAAATAAATTATATATCAGTTAAATTTTTTGACAATATGCATCTATTTCTGTTACGCAAACCCCTCGGTATATAATTTGTTTCGCTTATATCGCGTGATTCTTCGTATCGCTCGATTTTCCTGTCACGTTTATCCTGTACTTATCTATGTGACACTATACACATAAAAAATTATACGGTATTGCAAGAAAAGAAAAGAAAATAACATAATACTCCCAATGTAACGTGAGTTACGAATGGGAGATATGTGGATAAATATCGCGTGTGTCACCGCGGTGATTGACGTTTCGCAAAGTGCAATTTCTGCGACGTCTCTTTCTTCTCTCCAATAATGATGAATAGGAAATGAAGCAGCGCATGGTTGGCAACGTAGACATAGTACGTTATTATCGGATACGTACAATACAGCGTCTGAATATAGGGAGCACTGTTCGGAAAATATCAGCTGGATCTTTTGAGGAAGACTCGACGTTCGCGATGCGAAATCCAGTTGGAGAGACGCAGTCGGCTGTGGAATATTATTACGGTATTAACAAGATCATCATGTCGAAACTCGGTGCTTGGCCGACGCAAAGTATATTCGAGAAGACAATATTGCCGGCCATATTTTCAATGTTTGTTGGCAGCATCGGTTTTCTTGAGGTAAATTTCTATCATTTTTTTATAATAGTATGTTTTATAATAGTATGTAACCTTGTAAAAACCCACGTCGGGATAAACAAATTTGTATGTCAGAAAAGGAGAGAGAGAGAGAGAAAGAGAAAGTGAAAGAGATGATTAGCATGCATATACATGGCGTTAAAACGCGGTTAAAAAACGTGATTGAAGAAGCTTACAGCATTTCGTGAAGTAGTCTTCCAAATTTTTCAAGATATCGAAAATATGTTAAATATTTATATATAAACGATTTAAATGTATATGTAATATACATATGTATTTTTTCTATATTAAATTTTACTTATATTAAAACCCCTAATGGAAATAATATGGGATGTAAAGGGAGAGTATAACAGAAAGCAAAAACAATCTAAGGAGCGTAGATTGAAATAAGTAAATAGCTTATTGGAAGAAGTAAATGAGCCAATATGTATGAGTATTGTCGATATCTAGTAAATTTAATAAAACAAAATAAATGTCATTATATTTCTTAACGTTACTATTTGTGAAATTGTTTTATCGCGTCTAAAATTATTTTTGTCGACAATACTCATATATATTGGCTCATTAATTTTGTTCTGTAGGTAGGTGGAACGTTAGAGATGCGCAAAGGTGTTTGCAATTATTATCGCCGATTTTCAGTTTATAAAATTTTTGGAAGTATGGAGGAACCTAACCGAGGACTGTGAATCCTTACTCATTTTTGTGCTTGCATCCGGCGCTCACGTTAAACTCTTCCTCATAATCATCAAAAATAAAAACGTAAGATTTCATGAGGTGGGACTTCTCACTTAACTCATTAAAAAATCGTTGGATATACATAAATTCTATCCTTCGTTTTGTTTATTATTCCACAGATAGAACATCTGTTTTCGCTAATCGACTATCACTGGCACATTTTTACGCATTCCTTGGAGATAAAAATTATGCACGAGCGTACTCTCTTAGGAAGAAAAATGTCGTTAAGTTACACCTGTAATGAATCATTTACACGTGTTTTTTTTTTACTTCTAACACTGTGGACTCGTTACTCTTATTATAACAACTCTTAATTTTAAGATTTTTCTTTTACGAAAATTTTGTCTAAAACTTAAGTTATTTTTTCAATTACAAGAAGAAATAGTGTATCACGAGTTGCACGCCGCGCGCGTAAAAAGCGCCCGTGAGCGCCGCACTCCTGCCCGTTTCCTCTATCTAACTACTTCTTCTTTTAATTTGAAAAGTAAGCTTTAGATAAAATTTTCGTAAAGAAAAAATCTTAGAATTAAATCAGGAATACGTCTTTTCAGGGACACCTAAGTTATTCTGGGTTATCCTGTAACATATATTATTCTCACTGTTTGCGTGATCGTGAATTGCACTTGTATAGTATTTGATTTAAGAAATGCAACTTAATTGCTCTCTCTTATTCATTGATGAATTTTTACATTATGGTAATAATATGAGTTGCAGTTATAATTTATTTGTTGATGTCCATTTACATAATGGCTCCACTAACGGTGCCTATATTGGATTTCCTTGTACCTCTCAATACATCGCGCTCTTACATCTACCTGTTCAATGTCGATTATAGCTTCGACAGAGAGATATATTACTATCCTGTATTAGTCCATACATACATTACGATTATAATGGCTGTCACCGCAATGGTACTAAACGATACAAGTTACATATCACTCACGCAGCACGCGTGTGCTCTGTTCGCAGCTATTGGGTATTGTACCTACAGTACTTATTTTCTGAAAAGATTTAATTTAACTCATTAAGTCCAGGTGACTCTTACATCCTTTTCCGATTTAAATTCTTTACAACTCGGATAATCAACATTTTTAGATTGTAATTTGTACTTAGGGACAAAATTTAGCACAATCATATACAGAGTGTTTCAAAATTCGCGCCCGCGAAGTACAAGACGTGATACTTTATACTAACAACTTCTTTCGTTTGCAAAATTGTGTCTCTGACAAGTAATTTTTGCAGGAGAGCAATTTGAAGTTATTAAATGCGGGCGCTCTGATCTATGTGGCGTTCAGGACCGTCGCGCGCTCATTTACTTGTACCTAATCTCTGGTTAATTCATAATATTTTCCGGATATCCAGTGCATCCCTAATAATTATCACAGTTCACTCAAATAATTATATCAACAATATTCTATTAAAAAATGTATATATTATAAAATCACTTATTAGTTCAATTAAAAAGGGAGGGATTATTTATTTTTTTTATTTTTACTTTTAATTCTTTTATCTTTTTTTTAAACGTCTCTGATTAGAGTTTTGAAAAAAGTAACTTTTTATTCACTAATCAGTTGTTAAAAATTTTGATTAGGACCCGAGTTACAATTTAGGATTTAAAACAGAAAAACAGGAATTACCTGGAGCCCTATGTTAATATAAAAGAAAAGTTTTGTTTGTCTCTTCGTGTACCGTAGATAAAATTTTGATCGTATTTCAAAGGCATCGACTAGAAAATCTGACCTTGATAAATTTAAAAAAAAGTGCTCTCGTTAAGGACGTAAAGGTAATTTACAATAAGTGCGAGTCGAATAATGATGACATTATCTATCGCGAAATGATACGTCTCTTATGGAAACATCAACTGAGCCTTGAGTGAGTTTTGAATTTTTTCCG